ATTAAGTTACCAGAGTGTGACACACTGAAACTGGACTGGACAGCTGGTTACATTTCAGTTCTGAGCCTTTCCTCAGAATGGGCAAAACACTTCCAGTTCTCTGTTGGAGATGGTGGTGCAGTAACAGCAAATGTGGTGTGTTCACTTAGTTTCAGCATTAACTTCACCAGTAGGTGATGTGTATCTCTGTTTTCTCCAGCTCCTCTGTTCCTAACCATTGGTGCCATTAATTACAGTTTTAGGTTATAAACAATGCAGTCATCTTGAGCTAAGTTCCAGAGAAGATCAGCAAAGTTCTTCCTGTATTTCTTCAGCCTAAGGAATTCAAAGCCTGGTGAATTTTATGTTTTGCAGTTTTTAATCTAACAACCAAACGTGAAAAAGAAATCAATAATTCAGATGGAAAGCGACTTGCTACAAATAATGAACTTAAGTAAATCTGCTCCCTAATTAACTACTTTATTTCACTGGTGGGAGGGAGATGACAAAGGTGACAGAACTTAAATAATGACAACAGGAACTCATCATAAAACGGAAAACTTGCAATCATTTAGATTTGCTTTACTTTTTAAACCCACAATTTCCTGATTGGAAATGACCCATTTCATTGCCTTTTCCTGGGTTTATTGTCTGTGTACCCTCACCCTGAGGAACAAGGATTTAATAAACTCTGCACGTTCCTCTGCACTGCAACTGCTGATACCTCTCTCACCTCTGTGGTCAAATGTCTATGAATTTTTAGAGGAAATTAGGGAGGTTGTCATAATAGCTCAGATTTTTTGGACTAATTACGTTCCCAGGCAGCTGCCAATACATCACACTTCAAAGGAGATGATGAGGCACGAAACCAAGCTACAATGTGCAGTCACTAAGGTAATACAGCACAGCCCAGAATACATGAAAATTCTTCCATGGCACTCTCCGGCAATCAATATCTGTCGTGAGAGCATGAAATGTTGAAGCTTTGATCTTTACATGAAGAGCTCCTTTGGCAGAACAGTTACAATTATCTAACTGCAATTTGTCAAGGACATGGAAGAGGATGTGCCTGCAGAGTAATGTGAGTGGGGAGTTCCAGCTCAAAGAAGAAATTTTTGCCTCTCTGAAATAAATTAACTTCTTTGAAATTTGTACTGATGTTCTGGTAATGGATAATTTCCAGTCACAGGTAATTCTTAGCTAATGGTGCCTTTGTAGTGCTGTAAATGTGGCTGTAAGACCCAAGAACCACAGGAAAAACCCAGTAATTGTAGTATTTTTGCCTAGGTTGGCCTCTTGGATAGACAAAAAATACTGACCCTGCTGGGAGACTTCTATGCCAGAAGCTCTGTGAGTGACAAGAGGGAATTCTGCAACCCCAGACAGTGTGAGTACGTGGAGTGTTTTGGTTGTGGTTCAAACACAGGGAGGTCACACGAGGTTGGGTAGTTCATAGGTGTTTTATAAGTGTTACCAGAAGTGAAGAAAGGACCCAAATGAATGCTGTGACCTCTACACCATAATTTGCAAACATGTTTTGCAAACTGTGATGCAATGTTCAGAAATGCTTCAGCATCCAAAAATTTTTCCTTCCCACAAAATTTGGAAGTACGTCAGGATTAAAGCAAACCTTTTCCTGAAACAATTGTTCTTTTCTGCTGGAAAATGTGGGAAGTTAATTTTGTGTTTGCTCTAAAATTTCTTTAATCACATGGAAAGCTAAAGAGAATCCTCTGCATGAAAGGAAAATATTTGAAAGATATTGGACATTAATTAATTGCTAAGATCAATGCAAGGCAAATGACAGTTTCCCTTCTGAGTGTGGAGAATTATGAAACATTTATTTCAAAAGAAATGTGGTGTAATACACAGCACCAAGTGCAGTTCTCTGCAGGTAGAGACTTTTTCCTGAAGCTTTGTGTTCCCAAGGTGTTTGCTGAAGGCACTTTATGGTAGTTAGTATTGACAATACCTTTTCCCTTTAAATTTCCTTATGCAATACTAGAGAACATAAAATCAATGCAAACTATCAGCTCACCCATATTTTTTCTATTTCAGGGCCAATAATTGAGCTGCAAGAGATTGATCTTGTGGATTTATGGGGAGGTCTTGAAGACCAGGAAGTTTGTGAGGAACCCAGTGACAATTTAGTCTTGTCTCAAACAGGAATTTCTGAGGGAGAGATTTTAGCAAATGAACCTGTAGATGAACAAGAGACCTATGGAATGAGAACCAGTGACAGAGAAGGAATTTTTGAACAAATGCACACGGGTGAAGCTGAGACCGGGGAAAGTTGCAAGGAAGAAAACCAAGCAGTGGAGTCAAGTGATGCTGAAGGGAGAAGGGGTGAGGGCACTGTGTCAGTGGTAAAAAGTGCTGGAGTTGAAGCTAGTGATTTGGATGGAGATCCCACACAGAGTGAGAAATCCAGTTCCCATGGAGATATCAAAACAGAGAGGGAAACTGAGTCTGGAAGTGCAGACAGACAGGAGGAAGCTTCCTCAGGATCAGGCTCTGCTGGGGACAGTCTCGGTAGAGATGGAGAAGATGGATCTGAAAAACAGGTGAAGGAAGAGGAATTCAGCCTGGGTAGAGAGCCTGAGACAGAAACACAGAGTGAAGGAGATCATATCTTGGACAGAGAACCTGGATCAGAAGAGCAAGTTAGTCAAGAGGACAATGGAATTGCAGAGACAATCAGCAGTATTTCAGGACCAACACCAGAAACTACAACCACGAGCTCAGGAGACAGAGCTGTGGCAGACATGGATGTCACAGATTCAGAACAGGATGCCTCAGCTGCAGAGGCTGTGAAAGAAACCCCTGTAAGAAAAGAGAGTTTTTCCAGTCAGCATAGCAGCCAGTCTGGCCAACAGACAAGCTCAGAGACAAGCCTGGAGCACAAGGACCTTCTGCATCACCAGGGTAAAGTGTTCTCCTTTATTCTGTCAGACCTTCATCTTTTTCAATGTATATATTTGGAGTGCTTTAACTCTAGGGTGCTTTTAATCCATTTCAAAACCATGTGAGCGATTTCTGAGTAGAGAAGACCATAAGCTTTGATATCTTCTCAGCATGGTGTTTTCTGCCAAGGTTTCAGAGCGTGTTCCTTTCACAGGTGAGTCACTTTGCTGGTGATCTGTATTCAAGGCACTGAGCAGACACTTTAATTCAAGTTGGGACTTTGTGAAGCAGCAGCAATTTTATAATAAGGAGAAACTTTATGTTCTGTTTCACTCTGTAATATTACTATAGCAAGACAGGAACCTGAGCATGTTAAATCCAGGAATGACTAGTAATATTTAGCCAGTGATTGCCCATAGGGAGATACAGTGTGAGATCATACAGCAGGAACCTTTTATTTTAATCTCTCCCTGTGTTTCCAAAGGACACTTTGTACAAAGGCCCTTGTTCTAGGAGGGCTGTGGATAACTGTGTGTTTCAAACATCCTAGAAGGACCAACCTTGCTAGTGCTCTGTGAACACACTCTTGTGTCTCACAGTCTAGAACACTGTCAGAACTGGATCTACATTGCCTGACAAGTCTGCTCCCAGAATTATCAGGTAAAGGGTTGTAAAGCTGGTGGTACAGCCCACTGGTACCTACAGCTTTGTGTGGTTAACTCCCAGTGCACAGCACTAACTTGTCACTGAGTCAGTCCCTGGATGTGCATCCTGTGTTGTCTGGGACACCCAGTACCTCACTGCAGCCTTTGTCTCAGACAGCTCCTTGCTGAGTAGCAGTAATTGCAGCTCACCTGTATTAGTGATTTGACCTGGCTGCACAATGACATCCATGCCAGACTGGATCTGAAGAGCTACTATTAGAATAGTATAAGCAGATTAAGGCCTTTACTCAGCATGGAGTCAGTCTGTATTCAGCCATAATTTCCCTGGATAGGAAGTGCAGGATTGAGAAGTGCATTGATAGCTGCCACCTGGCTGGCTTTAGGGCAGTTTTGGCTTCCTGTGACACACTGTGCTTTCTGCCTTTCAGACTCAGCTCCCAGCATGGCAGAGATTCAGAACCATCAGGCTTCCTGTACCAGGAGTTCCTTTGATGCAAGCTGGCTCACCCTGCCACAGTTTGTACACCTCATGGAGACATTTGTTGGTGATGACATTTCTCTGCCTACTCTGAATAGGCTTATTGACTTTATCAAAGAAGAATACAAACAGACAGGAGAGGAAAAAATGGAACAACTAATAAGAGTAAATATTGATAAGTTTTGCTGATCTCATGTCCAAACAAAAAACAAGCAAATGCCTACAGACACTTACAAAGTCAACTGCTAATCTCACACTGGCAGAGCTCTCTGCTTGCAGCCTTGCATCCTCTATTTTTTCAGGAGACCTTTTACCCCTTTGTTTTTATATGGATGCTCCCTCCCTAGCCCTTAGCTCTGGAAGTGATGACAGACTCATCCTGTAAGAGGTTGTCTGTCTGTCCTAGAGGTGGACTCAGTGAGGCAGCAGTTGATAGTTCCTTGTGAAAGAGCCCAAAACATTCCATTCTGCTTATTCACCTTTATAATAGCCAAGAACCTGATCTCTGACCTACTGCACTGGCATGTACATAGGAGGTTGTGGATGTTTTGGGAGGATTTTAAAGCAAGTGTGTTTGGATTTGCTATGTGCATGGCTGGATGTGAATGTGCCCTTGATTCTTTGTGCTTAAGTTACAAGGTGCTCTTGCCATGTGTTGAAAAAACATATCCTTCTTCAGCAACATCCTCATGCACAGCATCAGGATGCCCCATATCACTTCAGATCTGTTTTATGGTGGGTCTCTCTAGCTATGTTTTCCTCAGACCTCTTTCTGGTTTCCCTCTGTGCTGCTGACCTAATTTGGATGAGATATTGGATCTGACGGCTCTACAGTCCTCACTGAACACAGCACATACTGCCAGTATTTTGGCCTTTGAGAGAATTCCACTCCAGCCAGTTATCCTTCTGTGCTAGGTTTAAAGGACAAATGACACATGCATTTGCTTGTAGTCCACACAACTTCAGGGCAGCACCAGCCAAATAACAATGTGCAGAAATAGGAACTGTCACATCTCCGGGTGGCACTAACAAGGCTGTGGTTAGTTCTTGCTGGGGAGACATTTGTGGTCTGGGAAACTTGCACTTACCTGAGTTGACCTCACCTTAAATCCAGCACAAGTTTCATTTGTTCACTGTGAAATAACTCTCTGCAGTGCTGGTCCTGCCTGGTAAACCAAACTGTCAGCTCTGTTTAGTGCTTCTAAGCATCTCCCGGATTAAATGATTCACCTCCAGGTCTGAGCAGTGTATGTACAGATTTGGCCTGGCCCATAGGAATTATGTGACCAGGACACATACCACTGCAGTTCCCACACCTGTGTGGACACTCAGCAGCAGTGTCCAGGAGGCACCACAGAGCAACTGTTCCTCTGTTCCAGGTTCACCACACGTATCGCGTGGCTCGACGGAAACTGCTCTTGGAGGCACTTTTTGAGAAGTGGGATAGCAGTGCAGCTGGGTTTCTGGACCTGGGAGAGGTGGATGCTGTTCTGAGCACATTCAAGGAAGGCATGGAAAAAGAGGCCTTAGGGAAGGGTAAGAAGAGAGCTCTGCTCTGAGAGAACAACACAGTAGGCCTTCAGCCATTCAGTGACAGTGCTAATGAGGCTGTTGGCAAGCACCAGTCATTTTTTGGTTTTGCAAGCAGTCATAAGCATACATGGTATGAGGTATAAAATGAAAAGGAATAGTTACCTAGTCCTACTTGCTCCATCTCCTCCTCCTGTGCAAGACTCCCGGGCAGAGAGGTAGCCCAATGCTTTCATGGTATTAGGATGTCTTGAAAAGTTATTTCAGCTGCAACCTTCAATGTATAACTGTGATATGGCAGTGAAAAAACATGTGAAGCCTGAGGACATGTTTGCACTTTTGGTCTATTCCATCTGTGTTATCCAGCTATTTTTAACAGATACATTTTCCTGTGCTTCCTGCAGGAATGTACCTCATAGGAGAGAACATGTTTCCTTATGGGTCTCAAATAGCCTGTAGTAATCCACACTGTTGCACAGCTCTCATGAATTACACAGCAACTTCAAGTCTCACTTCTCTGTTGGTTCATTTCTCTGAATAAACTTAGCAAATTTGGTCCTTGACAGAACTGACTTGGGTCAGACAGAAGTGCTGCAGGTTCACCTGAACCTGTCTGGCAGCCTCATGCATATTAACATGTGGGCATTAGGTGCCCTGAAACACAGTATTAGCAATCAAGAAGAAGTCTGCATGTGTGCTTGGGTGGAGAGGACTGGTTTGTTCATCCCCATGCTCACCTTCATGCTGCTCATTCTGCTGCAGATCATTAAAAAATGGTTTGTTCTGGCAACCACCAAAATCTCTGTATCCTTTTGCTCACTGGAGGCAGCTGGTGGGGTGGGGAGCAGTTAATTGTCTCCAGGCTGTCCAGCCACAGGAGAAACTGGCAGTTCACTGCTCTCTTGTATTCAAACCATGCCAGAACACAGTATGGAAATATGGAAAGACATAGTCCCTTCCATGAAGGGCTCATAAACTAAAAGACAAGTAAACAGGAGGACCATAGCAAAATCAATATCACCTACCAGCAGCATAAAACTGTTCCTAGCAGCTTCAGCCTAATCTCTCTGAGATGTGAAACAAGCAGGTTTGGGGGAAGGGTTCACAGATATTGCACTTCTGGATGGAAACACGGAGTATAAAGTGAGTAGAATGATTTGATATTCCTTGTAAGTGAAAAGTGTAACATTAGCTATAATGGGGAAAAGAATACATTATGCTGTGCCTCAGTAATGAAGGAACTGATCACATCACATTCAACTTCATGTGCATTTCTTCCTTCATCTCTTTCTTCAAAGAGAGGAGAAAGTGGAGGTGAAAATCCAAACATTTTTGTACCATCAGAAATTTCTCCACCCCAGTTCTGTCAGAAAATCAGAATTTAAATTAAAAAATACTGTATGTTCTTTAGCTGATGGGCTGGATAAGACAGCATTAACAGTCAACTCCACCACGACTGGGGCCAGTTACTACTTGCTATTTCTACAGCTAAAATCAGTGATAACAGTGATAGAATGGTTGAGCTTGGAACGGACCTTTAAAGGTCACCGAGTCCAACTCCCTGCCATGAGCAGGGACATCTTCGTGTCCAACAGGATGCAGAAAAAGCGATGGAAGCGTTCGTCAGTGCGGCGCTCAGGAGAGGCAGGGTCAGGCAGCAGTGCTCGGGCTGAACAGCCCGTGAATCCCGAGCCAAACAGCCGCTGCACCTTCCACAGGCTGTGCAAGAGCACCCCCGTGAGCACAGAGCCGGGCGGGAGCTGCCAGGGCTCGGGCAGCTCTGGGGCTTACTGCTGATCTCACTAACACCCGGGTGGAAAGCAGAGCTGTGCGGGGTTCGCTCTCAGCGGGAGGGAGATGCATCTCGGGCAAAGGATGCATCCAGACGGGAAGCTGGACATCACTGTCATGACGACAGCTTCCATTTGGGAGATAGCTTAAGGAATCCCAGAAGGATGGACTGCAACAATCCACTCAAAGCCAGTTTAGGGCATAATTCATATCTTGCAAAATGGATTCACCAACTCAGTTGTCTCTGTCTTATTTTCTTTTTTTCTACTAGCAAAGGAACAGCTTTGCTCCCGATACCCACAGCTCAGCAGAGTGGGGAAACTATCCCCAAAGACATTCCAGACTTTCCTTGAGTTAATTGCTTCCGAGTTCAGTGGCAATGAGGATGAAGCCGTTAGTGACCTGGTGGAATTTCTGACCACAAGAGTGGAGCAAAGTCACAGGGAGAGTGTGCAGAGCTTAACCAGGAGGAAATGGCTGCAGGATATCCAGCAAGTGGCTGAGACCAGTGGAGCAACCATGGAATCAGTGTACGAGGCAGTGTTTAAGGCCCTGTCCCAGGTATGCATCCCAGGGACCACAAGAGGTGCTTGTGTTGGGGTTGTGGCACTGGTTTCAAACCCTGTGCAGGGGAGTGGAACTCGCAGGTGGTGTGGGAAGCTGCTCTGAGGTGGTGTCCTTGTGCTTTTCCACACTTAACTGATATTCAGGAGAGCCCATGGCTTTGCACAGAAAGGCTCACAGGTCAGATATGCAATACAAGAATTCTCCTCTGTGCTCTGCCAATACCAAGGCATCTCATGGACACTATGTCTCACTTTTGGAAGAGCTGACCAAGGTCAGATCTGGAAATCCATAGTTCTGGTTTTGGAGCTTCTGAAATGAAAAACACCAGAGTCAATTTGGGTCAAATATGGTTAAATCGTAGTGGAAATGGTTTCATTTTTAACTTGCAGCTGCAACTTTAGCTGTTTGTCCTCACCATTAAAGCTCTCCTCGAAGCCAAACTTCTCTCATGGCAGCTGAAATGTACTTACAGTATTGTCTACATTTGTAAATGTGGCAGACTTGTTTGCTTTTTTCCCACACAAATCTATTGGGGAAGAAATCCATAGGACTTTTGCTTAGGCACAGATTATCATTAGGGATTATTTTGATGTTATTTACTTTTCTCCATTAGCAGCAGGAAAAAAAGAAATCCTTTTTCCTTGCCAAACAAAATACCAAGTGTTCTTGCTTGTCACGTGGCACATGGGGCAGACACAGCCACATGCAATTGGTGTGTGACACACAAACTCAGCCACCCAGAGCACAGCATCTCAGCAAAAAGGAGACAAGTGCTAAGTACATGGAATAAGTGCAATGGCAGTGGCTAATGTACACCCTGTAATGGGAAATATTTGGTTGCTAGGATGCAGAAGCCCATGGGGGTAACAAGAAGATCAGTGCATATATTGCCCTTCTGGAAGGGAACCAGCAACCACTGGAGCAGGGACAGATCCTCCTGCGCTACGTGGCCTCTACTGCAGATGATGCTCCATATGTGCTCAACCAGGTACTTTACAGACACATGAAAGGAGTAAGGTAAGAAAAGCTGCAAATGACTGTTCCTTTTTCTCACAGCTCTTGGGAATGCAGGGGCACGAGGCAGCGTTTGGGGTGCACTGGAAACAGAGGTTGATGGAGTACTCTAGAGAGGAAATCTCTGCAGAGACTTGTGGAATGATCCAATATCCTGTGTCCTTATACTCTGCATGGTCTGCTTAGAACTGCTCTGTTTAGGATTTCACTCCTTTCCTTGGGGAGATTAGATCACAGTCTAATAAATCTCATCCTTTAGCAAATGTTTGTGGCATTGGGCCTACATTTTCTTCTTTAAAAATTAATTCCCTCACACCAGTTTATATCCACAGGATATATTTTAAGAACAATGCCTTTCCTTCCCTGGTGTTTATGCTATAAACAGCTTTCATGCCTCTTCACTTGTCATTTCCAAAAGCTAGACATATTTGTCTCTTTAAATATTGCTTTTCCTAACCTAGAAAATGTAACTGCTGCTTGTTTCTGTATTGCTTTTCATTCCATTCATTAGCTGATGTTTTTAAAATGTCCTCAGGGTGAAAAGTGCCTTATTTATTACCACTGTCTTTGGGATGCAAGTGGTAAATGTGGTATTGCTGGGTGTGGTCAGAGCATGGAGCATACACCTTCCTTCTCTGATGCCAAAAAGCAAGGAGAGATCAAAGCTGCAGTATTTGCTGTTTTGCTAAAGCTTTTCTGCTACTCTTAAGAAGCCTCCTCATAAATTTATTTTTCAGCTTTGTAGCTGTTGAAGAGGGAAAGCCAATTCATGTTCCAAGAGTTCAGTTCCATGGAAATATCCACTTCTGGAATCATGATCGCCCAGTGGAGCAGAGGAAAGGTTCATTCCTGGTGCTGCCCCTGCATGATGCTCACTGGAGAGTCTTTGGCATTCTAGGAGTTGACACTCTTAGGGACCAGTGTGAGCAAACCGTCTTTCTGAGCCATGAGATCAGTTTCTACCAGGTGGGCACCAGCAGAGCAGTTTGATAGTCCAAGCTGCAAAACACTTATGAATTTTACATGTGTGTTCTGAGTAAACATAAGATGTACAACCAAGAAAAGGTCTGTAGGTCCCTTTCTGCAGTACATGGTGGAAGTGGTGTGAGCAGAACACCTGAGCAGTATCTTGCTGATTAGCATCTTATCTGAAATTGATTATGATGTATCACTTCATCAATAATTCATTTAAGCTTCTCCTGACTAGGAAATTAATTGCCCTTTTGTGCAAAGCCCAGAGATAGCAGCTTTTATTTCCTGAAGCTCTCAACCTCCTATTTGTGTTAGTTTCCATAAAGTGGCATGAAACTTGGTTTTTACATGGTGGAATAATTGTAGGGAACAGCACTCCGGATTTCCTTGGGCTGCTCCTTGGAATCAGCCTCAGTGTGGATGCACCATCTGGGCAGCAGGGAGCGCAGCAAGCCAACCTTACCCACCCACCTGGCTATTCCCACTGAACACCACCTTTGTCTAGGTTAGGACTCGGCTGCGACCTGAAACTCGGGAGCTTTAGAGCATTATTTGATAAGGGACATTTCACTGTCACTTTTCAGCTTTACAAATTCTGATTAAAGTAACTTTTTACAACCATTTTGCTTCAAGAACCTTTCCCCATCCTTTTTCCCCCAAATCCTATGGATCTGTCTGGCTCATGTGGAGGATTCTGTTTTCACAGGGAGTTTCCCATGCATTCAGCAGAGCCTACCACCATATCTGCACACTGGAAAATGTCCTACAAATGGCTGGCACTGCTCTGGACTGGCTGTATCCCAGGACACCCAACATCCACAGTGTCACCATGTACCTGGTGGAGCCTGGCAAAGACAAGGTACTGCAGAGAAAAGGTCTGTCATCTTCAGGGACTGAAAGGCTGCTTTGGGGAGGATGTGCCATCCCAAGCTGCCTGTGTTTCCCCAGTGGTTTTATCACTAAAACTGAAATCTGCCTGAGACCCTTGTGCCTGCCCATGCAGCAAAAGGGCTGCAAAGGTAGAGAGGGAAGTTCCCCCCTGTAAAGGAGACCTCTCTTTATTCTTGTTGTCCTCCCATGTCAAACAATTCAAGAGCACAGCTAGCATAGCCCCTTCTCCATGGGAAAAGGGAATATTCTCCTACTCCAGTGCTCACTGATGCATAGCAACCAAAAGAGCAAAACCCCACACCCACCCACCCATCCATCCATCCATCCAGAGCTTTGCTGTCTGGGACCTCCACAAAGGGAAATGCTCTTCTGTGGAGAGTCTCTGCATGTCAAAATGATGGTATTTCATAGCGAAAAAACGAATGTTCCAGCTAATGTATTAGCTCTTTGTTCTGAACTACTGTCAGCAGCCAAGACATAAATACAGCTCAGGAAGTGGCTGCTTCCCAATTAGCCAGCTTGTTAGGGCATCCCCCCTCCCTGCAGGTCATATTCCACAGGCACTCAGGCCCTGGGAAGCTTGTCACTTCATGTACCAGTGAGTTAAGAAGATGAAAAGTGTATGCAATATTTAGGACTGATCCTGTGTCATCCCAAAGTCTATTTGACATCTGCTGTAGCCATAATTCAGCCGCTTCCTCCGATAAGGATGGTTTATGTTGGCAGTGTTCTGTTGTCATTCCAGGCACTGTTCCCTTGTTAGCTGCCTGATAGCCAGGTCACTCACTCCCCTCTGTGCTTTTCACGTGTCAAGGCACACTGACACAAACATGACATGAGAAAGGACTGCAAGAGGATGGGAAAAAGAATGGAAACCTCTAGGCCTGTGGGAGCTCCCCAGTGTGGAGCCTGGGGGTGGATTAAATAGTCTGGCTGAGGGAGGTCCAGGGCACATTCCTTATAGATCTGGAGTGATACACTCTGGGAATAAAACCAAGCATTGTTGGGAGATGTCTTTAACCCTCCCCATTGCACTTGAATGTACATAGGAGTTTTCTTTAAGAAACAAACCATTTCCTCCCTCTCCAACTTCAAAATGTCTGTTCCTTTCTTGGATGTAGCTAAACCTCCCTTCTCTCTCTGGCAGACACAGGACTATGCTCTATGCAAGATGATCACTACAGATAATACAGGACAAAAAGAAATCCATAGCTCTCCTGTTCTTCTCCTTAGAGAAGAAAACCTCCTCAGGTAGGTTCCAGCACCCACAATCAGACTAGTCCTCTTTGCTCCTGGGCTCAGGCATGATCCATGTTCCATAAAGCCCCTGGAAGTGCAACACTGCATGTCTGGCTGTAGCTCTCTCAGTATCAAGGCCTCTGCTGCATACACATGTGACACTGATCTATGAAGAGGTGAGGAGTATTTTCTCTATGAGTTTAGGTCTCCAAAAACTTCACTTCTGACTTAATGCTTACCAGCTGAGCTGCCAAGATTTGCAGGGTTACAGCCTACACTGAACCATTTTGCTCTTTAGAATAATCTCTCCTTTTTCCTGGCCACATTAGCCTCATTTCCTTCTACTGTCTGTTTCCTTCCACTGCCAAGATCCTCACAGACTTGTCTTTTAAGCATATCATCCTTGTTGTCAAAGTTGGCTGAACAGCCATTTGCTGTTCCAGCTGATGTTTTTGCTTTTTTATAAAACTCTATAGAACAAATGTCAATGCAATTATAAACAGAAAACTGTTTTTAAAGCAAGGTTTGTTATTTCTTAGTGTTTTCAGCAATCATCTTGGCTAAGCAATATTGTGTTCCCAGTACTATTCTCTCCTCTGTGTGCATGGCTTGAATGATACTTAGAGCTGTGCAGATTTCATTTTAAGGGAACAAACTATGATTTGGAATTGTAATACTTTTATTTTAACAGAGATGAACAGCATCTTAGTAAAATATGCTAAATAAATTACCAAAAGAAAACAGAACGGTAAATTCTAGCACATTTTCCTCTCTTTACTCTCACTTCAGAGATTACATGTTTAAGTGCACAGACAGTTCAGAGGTCACTTGCACTTCTGTCCGTGGGGAACATCACATTGCAGTACCTCTCCGTGACCTGTCAGGACAAGCTCTTGGCATATTTGATATCAGCATTGGACCCAAACAGAAATTACCTCCTGAGGAACAGAAAGAACTGCAGAAAATGCTGAAGGTGGTCCAAGCTGCCTACACAGAGATCCTGAGGATGTCTCTAGAGGAAACAGAACCAACCTATGTGCTGGGTATTGTGCATACAGAGCCAATAGGTTTTTCTAAGGATGAAATGAGGGATCTCAGTAAAACCACATCTAAAGTATAATTCCTACAAGTATGGAGAGACAAATACAAACCTTTGGTATATGTAAACTACTCCTGAGCACATCTAAGTGCTTAGTGGAAGAAGTTAAACAGAATGGTTAGATTTTTACTGTGGTTATTTTGTGCCCAGGTCCCACTGAAACCAGAGGTGTGAAGCAAAGTGCTTTGCTGCCCTCAGGGATCCAGCATTCCTCCTCAGAACTGCTCCCAAGGGCCAAAGAATTTGAATGTCACAGTTACAGAATTGCCTGCATACCTGCACCCTTCGTGGTCTTGAGACCTCTGCTTGCCCTTGAGGCAAGTTTTGTCTCCTTCACAAGCATTTTTAAAAGCTTTGTAGGATACTTGGGTTGTAAACAAATCAGTCAAGGAGACAAAGAGTTAAATCACAAAGAGGGCAGAGCCTTTCAGTCAATAACAGAAATCTCCAGCAGCAGATGTTTCTGAGCAACTTCTTGAGGGGTTTGTTTTCCAGAGGCAGAACACGTGGCAGGTGTGAGGCACGCAGGAATTCTGTTCCACCGGTTCGTGCTGCAGGACCTGCGCCAGTGTGTGCGGACACTGGGTGAGGAGAGCTTTACTGGGATAAAGAGCTGTGCAGAGCCCCCAGCTCTGGTGCACCACATCGTTAAGGCTGTGCTGCTGCTTTTGCATCCAGACTGGAAGGGCTCAGAGGAGACTGAGAGCTGGAGTCAGTGTAAACTGGTGAGACTTCAAACTGTTGAAAGTTAATTTTCTATCCTTCTTCCCCCAGGAAGATACAGAGGAATTTGGCAAGGGAGAATCGGCAGTGAAATTATTCATTACCTATAGATTTCCTGTATGTTTCTCTCAGCCATCATTCCTTTTGTTACCGTAAGTTTTTCATCACCACCTGATTCTGTTTTCTGCATTGCAGAAACTTGATGACAATTTGATTCAGGAGATTTATTGCTTTGATCCAACTGCTGCATCTGTGCAAGCTGAAGCAGAGCTGGTGCTGGACTGCATTGCTGGTAAATGTCATAAACTCTTTGTGAGGTTCCCAGGCACTGCTCAGTGTGTTAGTGGCAATGCTCAGCTGAGTCTTTCCAAGGGCCTGACTTCAGAAATTAACTTGGTTTCACAATAGATCAAACAACAGATAAAGGGTCCTAAATATCTGCAGTCTTTTTTTGGGCAACAGAAGTCAACCTGTTAAATGTAGGCTCAAAATTCACTGCCTTAAGGACAGGGGAGCAGAGCAGCTTTGAAACCTTCCAGAACAAGTGAGATCACATTGTAAATGTCCAGATAAACATATGAACAATGAGGGTTCTTTTGGCAAGCAAATCTACTTCAGACCTCTGTGCCCTGCCCTAAGGACTGACCCAGCTCCAAACAGGAACATGACTGTGGGAGGACAGTGTGAGTTCTCCTCTTGGTAAACACCATCTGCCAAGTGCTTAATGTACTCACTGGCCATAGACAGGAGCTGGTTTTCAGTCTGTCCTTCTCTCCTTTAATTAACATGGGCTTTTTTTTTTTTGTGCCAGAGCAGTCAAGAGGCTGTTATTATTATTATTTGCAATATCTCTGCAAGAGAAATGACTTGTTCTCATCGAGATCTCTCCTCTAATGATCTAATGCCAGTCTGAGAGGTCTGTTAAAAACCAAACGTGGACAAGGGTTATTAATTTAGCTGTGGATATTTATCATCAGTACCCTGCCTGCTGATAAAGAGTAAACACTTGAGGCAGTCATAGTTCCTTTTCAAGTGTTCTCCTCATATATATTAAACTAATACACTGGAAAGGACAAAGCAGGCCTAGAGCATCCAGTTTTACTACAGTTAGGGACACAGATGTTATTAGATTAAAGAATACAGATTTGGTAAAGTCATTCAAAAAGTTGTTTTCACAGGATGGAACATATTCTGAGAGAGTAGTGTCAGATCAGGGGTGTGAATCATAGAATTTTAGGGGTTGGAATGGACCTTACAGATTATCTAGTCGAAACCCTTTGGGACACCTCCCACCAGAGCAGGTTGCTCAAGGTTTTTTCCACCCTGGCTTTGAGCACTGCCAGGATTGGGGCAGCCACAGCTTCCCTGGGCAACCTGTGCCAGTGTCTCACCACCCTCACAGGGAAAAACCTTGTCTTAATATCTGACCTAAATTTCCCTTCTTTCAATTTGTACCCATTGCCCCTTGTCCTATCACTGCAGCTCCTAACAAAGAGTCCCTCCCCAGCTTCCCTGGAGCCCCTTCAGATACCTGAAGGTGCTATGAGGTCTCCATGCAACAGTTACAGAATTGATCTAAAATGAACATCAAGTAACACCCATATGTTCCATAGACATGTGCTATAATACAGGACAGAGCACAAAACAACCTGCACTATTGATAGAGCAACATTCATGGCACGATCCTGTGGTGACCTTTAATGGCATTTAGAACAAGAGCTCTGGTGGGATGATCTTTGTTCTGTTTTGTGGCAACACTGCTCAGGGTTGTGCCCTGCCCTGTTGAAGTGACAGCTCTGCTTTGTTTCAGGTGTCCCTCGCGCAGCAGTGTGGCAGGAAGGCTCAGCTCCAGGGTACCTGTACCAGTGGGTACACACCTGCCTGGCACTCACACAGAGCCACCACAGGGATCAGCCCCATCCTTAGCCCCTCCTGGTACCCAGTCCTGGTGTGCCTCCAACTAAATATATCTGAATTCCTCATCTAACCATAGGATTTCTGGTATTTCATGCCTTTTATTAAACTGAGTGTTAGGGTTTGGTAGGAGCTCC